AGGCACCCAGGGCCTGCCCCTCCAATCCAAGCCCCATGGACATTGCCAGCCTAGACTTGCAGAGTCAGGAAAGGCCCCCACTACAGGTCTTTCCCCCCTGTGAGCTCCCTGTTCCCCATCTCCGGCCCCGCAGGAAGCAGAGTCTCCGGGCCATGGCGGAGAAGATCATGTTGATCCGGGCCAAGCTGAAGGAGAAGCTGCGGATCCTGGGCACCCCAGGCTCCTGGGAGCACATCACCACCCAGTTGGGTACACACAGCTTCATGGGGCTGCTCCGTAAGTGCCTAGCCAGGGGCGTCCACTCCCAGGGCCAGGGACCTGGGGACTCCTGGTTCCCAGCATGTTCTCACAAGGCCATACCTCCTTGCCTGCCTGCTCTTGGCCACGCTCTGCTACGCTTGGCAGGAGGCTTCAGTGCAGTCCCATAGTGGTGTCTGTTTCCCAGCAGCTGTCCAGGTGGCTTATCTCGTGAAGCTCAAGCACGTCTACCTTCACGCAGATGGCCAGGTCAGCATGTGCAGCATCAACTCCCGCAACATGGATTACGTTGCCCAGAGCATCCATGAAGCAGTGGTGGCCACGATGCTGGGACTCAGCCAGCACCCAGACCACCTTGCAAGGGCCAGTGAGTGGGCCAGCAGCTTTGCTCTGCCCAGCATGGCCTGTTCTCCCCACCCCACTTACCTTCAATAAAATGGTGAGTTCGACCTCCAGGAGCCTAGTGTTTGCCTCTGCTCTGCCCCCAAAGCAGCTACGGGGAGTGACCCCCACCACCCTGGGCAAGTGGAAGAAGGAGGCCCCCAGAATAACAGCTCTGGAGCTGGTTGGTGCTTTCCCAAAGCCTAGGGGAATGGGGAAGGGACTTGGGCAGGGTCCTGTGGGCACAGTGGCAGCGGGACCGGTGTGTGGCTGCAGCAAAGGGCTGACCAACATCAGGGCCTTTGTTGCTTGCAGATCAGCTCTGCCCACTAGGCCTGTGCCTCAGGCATGAGCTCCCTACATCTGCTCCAGCCCCACGGGAGAGAAGGGTCTGGGATGCCTGGTGCAGGGGGTGAGCAGCAATGACAGTAGTGCAGTGGAAAGGCTTTTCAGGCGATGGGCAAGGACGGAGAAGCTCTTGCTCAGGTAGCGATTACTGCCAGATCGGATTGTTCTCTGTCGAACATTTCCAGCAGGGCAGCGGTGCTGCTGGCAGCAGAGGGACTCATGTCTAGGTACAACTGCAGGACACAGTGCAGCCTTTGCAACACAAGTCTCTGCAGGACTCCCTCCAGGTAGTTGCACAGCGCTGGTTCTCGGCCCTCCCCTTGGACCTGGCCAGGGGACCAGGGCTGAGGGCTGGGGTTTGCTCCCATGTGCGCATGTTTTGCAGCAGGCGTTTGCAACACTTCTGGCCTTTTGGGGCATCCCTGTGACAGCCTGGAGAAAAACTCCTGCTGCTACTGTGTTTTCTGGAGGCCCTCTTTGTGGGGCTGAGGTTAGAGCACAGACTCCCTCCATGCAGCTTAAGGCTGCTGCTAACTCCAAAGCACCAGGGAGGTTAAACTCAAAACCATTGTAGAGCTCTCCTCCAGCTCAGGCTCATTAACCCCTTCTGTCAGAGAAGCAAAGACTCGTGCTCCCCAGTGCGGGGGTTATCTTTCTGCTCTTGTTGCCTGTGGCTCCAGTCTCTGGGAGCTGTCCAGCCTGTCCTTGTCAGCACTAGGCTTGTGGAGCTGAAGTATCCCACCAGGTGCTAGTACTCCCCGAGCGGGGTTGTAGGGGTGAGCTATGACCCTCCCTCCCTCCTAACAGGCTCCTTTGAAGCTGATTACACAGTACTGCCTTTGATTTTTAATGTCTTCTGTTAAAGGCAATCCCAAGGCAACAGGCTGCTTTGGCCAGAAGCCAGCGGAGCTGCAGAGGAGGCTGCAGCAAGGGACCTTCCTTCCCAGGTCCTGCTGCACAAACAGGGGGGTGTGGGGCCACAGCAAGGTCATTCCCCGCCTGGGTGAGGATCACAGGGCTGTGCAGGCTGGACTGGCTCTGCCCTGGTGCAGAACAGCTCCGGGACCTGCCCCTAGGACCACGTGCCTACCAAATCTGTGAGCCACTCAGTTTGGATATAGGCATAGGCACACCAAGGAGCTACCAGGATTGCCTTCTGTGTATGTCCCCCCTTAGTGCTTCATGGCACAGGCAGGAAGGAGATGCCAGGGTCTGCACATGCCATTCTCTACCCAAGCAGGAGGCATGCTGCCTGTCTTAGTAGTTGATATACAAGCTGGGGGCAAAACTGGTGCCACCAGTGCTGGCCCATGTACCTGACCTGCTCCACTGGCCCTGCTAGTGCCTCAGTGTTTGGGGGGTCAGCGGAGGCACAGCTCAGGCTCCTTGAAAACCAGCCAGCAGTGCCGGAGCATGTTGGTCCCGCCAAGGGGACAGCAGCTCTGTAGTCTGAAGGAGGCAGGGATGCACTGGTGGCTACAGCACTGGCCTGGGACTCAAAACGGTGAGTCTGGTCCCCAGCCCTGCTGCTGACTCTCCACGTGTTGTCACTCCACCTTATTGTGTCCCAGTTTCCCCACTGATGCAAGCTTTACAATCCTTCCCTCCTTCGTCATGTTCTTGGGAAGATGAAGCACTGTGCACTTGAGAGGTGACCACATACTATTGTGTTGGGGGGCTTTAGAAGTACTTCTCATAGATCTGCTGCAAGGTCAGTCAAAGGGTGCTGCCGGCATTCTTCCGGATGCTGATTTTATTCTGGGATGATTCCCATTCGCTGTTGCCCATTTATCTAAATAAAATTAAGCTCTGCTCTAGCACTGTGTGACCGGGTAGGGTAAAAGGTAGCCAGGAGGCTTCCTGAACAAGCAGCCACTAGAATAATGTGATTAAAGCTTCTAATTGAGCATAATTGTCCAAATCCATTAGGCACATAATAGTAGCAGCAGTTCTCCTTGTCTTTACAGAGAAGCACTGAGTCCCCTGGCAAAATGGGGATAGGGTGTAGGTGGGAAGGGGCTACAGTACATGTATTTTTTAACTTACAATAAAATGAAGTCGGCTAAGCTCATTCTGGGAAGCTCTCTTCATTTCTGCTGTAATTACTAATGCGAGGTGGGAGATGGCATTGGGTGAAGCCATCCTTGGAGTGCACTGTACAGCAGGTAAACACGGGACATAAATAGTCCCCAAGCTGTCTGCAGTGGCTGTAGGTGCCTGTGCGGTGCTCTCAGCAGTGTTGCAACCTGCCTTGGACAGTCCCTATACCTGGTACTCCTGATGACCCATAACCCGGAGCAGTCCAGAACGCACCTCAGCAGCTTTGCAATGCTGCTCGTGCAGGGGGAATGCCTGTCGCACGCTGGCAGTGATGAGCTGACACATTTACATGCAGGATTTGATTGGGTTTTAATGTTCCTCACGATCATACCACTATAGACCAGTCCTGGGAGAATATTAATATTGCTTTGCCCTTTCATAGTGTCATTCATCCCAGCATCTCAAAAGCATTTTACTAAGACTAATTACAAATCTCACAATCCATCATATGTGCTCTTTAAAAAAAAAGCACCTATCCATACCTCCATCTCTCTACAGCAGGTAAAGAACACCATCCATTATTGAAATGTGAACACCTCTCAAATGGAGAGCAGCCGCTTTTTAACTGTAAACAGGCTCACACAAGTATTTAGGACTAAAATACTGCATTACGGTGCCTAGTTAGAACAGCAGGGTGCATTTAGGGAAACAGGAAGGCGGTACCATTTTTGGAATTTTTTTGGGAAAAAAAATCCTTAATAGCAGCACCACAGTCTCTTTCAGGGGTGTTTTCAGGACTGAGCTCCATTGTACCTTTTATCCCCTGAACCACGGTACTGCTACCCCCACTGTGAGTAGATGCTGTCACACATGGTCCTGGTCGCTTGTAGTTGTAACACCATTAGCTGGGCTTTGACAAAGCGTGTTGTGCTTTGGAGCAGACACTGCCGGAGATCATTAGGAGACAAACAACCCTGCGCCCATATTGATCCTTTGAGGAAGTTGCAGGGATGAAAAGAAAATGAAAGGGGATGGGAGCTGATGGCAAAGTCACAATAAATGATTCATCTTGGATTTGCCCCTTGGGCTGCTTTCCTGGTATCTCAGATGGTTTTTCCTCCCACTACCCATGCACGCTGCCTTCCACCCTGAGCGGTAAACATCCCTGTCCCCCAGGGCCTTTCCACTGCCACCTACATCAAATGCTTCAGAGATGTGTAGGGGGAAGGGGTGGGGGGGCTTTCTAGTAACAAATGCAAATAAACTTGTCCCACATGCCTTTCTGGAGTGGTCCTAGTGAGTATTCATGTTTCATCCACAAGTTCCCTGGGAACCAATTAATTGCCCTGGAAGTTGTACCCGAAAGATAATGGCTTGCCCTTTTCATGGCCAAGGTGACCTAGATGCAATAGATGAGTTAGCCTGCTGGATCATAAGGGTGTAAATCAGGACTAGCACTATTGAAAAGCATGCATTAAAGGTATGAAACCAGGAGCTTTGCATTGAAGGGCACAGGAGCTGTTTAGGTTTATCTGAAAGCCTCAGGGAATGAGACTCGTGAGCCCCCCACCCTGGACACAATGAGCACCATGCTAAGTGACCTCTGGGATGGTGGGTGCCAGCTCATCGTACCAGCACAAATCAGCCTGGCTGATGAGGTTCTGCACA